CAAAGTTATTGATAACTCCTCAGTTTTATTATACTGTAATGTGTAGGTGTCTGTGTTTGTTTAAATAACTTCAATCCAATTAAAAACCAGAAGCAGTTCAATTAACTAATTGCAGGCAATTAATTATTCTGACTTGCCTTTGATGAGAGAGCAGCTAATTTGTCACCCAGTACTGACACCCTTGAAAATGTAGTTTGTTTTTTTTGCCCTGAATCATAAGACTTAAAGTGTTTTTTCCACTTTTGCAGCCAAATTCTGATATCACTTTACATCTGTAATATGCACCACTGGCCCTCTGCCTTCTCCTCCATTCAGACTGATCCTATTACTATTATGGAACAATGCATCATGTTCTGTAAATGGGTGATGGAGGTTCTGTCATTCAACTGCTCCTCCTCCATTCATAGAATGTGATGCAGTGCGGGATAAAAGTAATACAGGCTCCATGAAAGGTGGAGGGCCGGCAGTGCCGACTGTTAACTCTTACAGCGCCGGAAGACAGACACAGAGGGCGATACCCAACAGCTGTGAAGAAGGCACTAAGGGTAAGATTTTACAAAGAGGCAGCAGCCTACAGGTAACGGGATACACACCATTACATATATCTAATCTGTTTGGTGCTGCTTTTCCCCAACCCAAAAAAAAACCCCACAAGTGTTTAAATAAATATTTTATATTTCTCAGCCTGATATCACTACAGGAAAGAGCTACTACATGTATGCTAACTGCTATTAAACTAAAGAAGAGGAAAGATAGTGTGATAAAACATAACTAACAGATTACAAAGAGATTACAGAGGTGATCTATTGCAATTATCATTTGCATTGGGCTATAGGAAATACGTTAGCTACTTATCAATGAACAACAAATGGCATGTAATTATTCGTCATGAGAAAGTAGCAGCTTTTATGTCACATGCGGTTTTAGACAAGTCATGTAACATCCAACATACACTTGCATCACTATGTTTTAAGAACTGAATATATCCTACTCCAAAGACAGGCTGGTAAGTTAACTGCCTCCTGTCTAAATTGGCCCTGTACGTATGCAAGTGAGATAAGGACCTTAGATTGTAAGCTCCTTGAGGGCCGGTTCACACCACAAAGAGTGCGTTCCAAAGTGTTCGGCCTCTGGAACACACTGGAACGCGACCCGGCTGGCTCCCTGTATTCAGGGCTTGAGTTGGCGTGTCGGTGCATTAAAGTCAATGGCAGCGCAGCCACGCCCCCAGCAAGATTGCTGGCACTCGAAGGTGTGACACATTAGTGCCTGCGTTCTGATCCAGTGCGAACTGCAAAAATAGTGCATGCAGCATTTTTGCAGATCGCACTGGACCGGAGTGCAGGCATTAATGTGCCACATGTTCGGCTGCTGGCAATCGCACTGTGTGGCTGCAGTGCCATTTATTCCAATTCACCGCCACGCAGGGAGCCAGCCGAGTGGGTTCCAGAGGCCGAACGCTCTGGAACGCACTCTTTATGGTGTGTACCGGCCCTAAGGGCAGGGACTGATGTGAATGTGGACGTAAAGTGCTGCATAAATATCTGTAATAAATAAATATCTTGTTATGTCTCGGTTGGACATTCTGTGATCCTTCAGTCATGCAAGAACTACAAATGCCAGCATTCAGTGCTAGCCAGCAGAGCTGGTCAGTCTGTATCACTTCAGCGGCTAAGAAACTGCAAGTCAAAGCAAGTTGCAGCATGGTTCCTAGATAGCTTAGAATAGTCTTCCCACGCTGTGGTTACTGCAGTCATCTATATCTGTGCCTCACTGAGGCTACATACACATGGACGTACCCACCAAAAAAGGGTGTACTGAGCAGACTAGCTCTGTATAGAGTTCCAGGTTCATCAACCATCACTTTGCACTCTACCAACCCAAATAAATAAGATACGTTTTCACTGTAATGGCTCCCCGCTAGGTTTCCCACTGGAGGAGCAATATTAGCATAGTCCCAGTATTATTAATTTAGTTCCTGCCTGGAAGGAGCCTATCATATAAAAATGGACAAGCTCCTATCTGGTCTCATTTATTAGTGTGTACCAAAAAAGAGCTGCCTTAGAGAGTCGTTGTACATCAGATTATGCTTTTCCCTCTACAACTGAAATAGAGAAGGATAATAGCGTCAGCACAGAAAAGTGACACAATGTGGTTGCTAATGGCTATACAAAGAAAGCCAATTGTGTCTTACACTACATGAGGCAATATTTTCCTGATGGCAGGCTCCAGCATACATCTTGTATCTGTAGCTGGAAGGAACATGACTAAAGCAGATCTGCAGAGTGTGCATGTAGTGTGGGTGTATATTTATATGTATATGTACTCATAAAATATCCGGCTGCCACTATCTGTTTACTGCCTCTTTTGGCAAAACATGTGCCGGTATCAGTTGTTTGCAAACTATCTCTTTAGTGTTGGGTACGCATACTGTGCACTGCTAGCTTTTTAGTGAATCCCCTTTTTTAGGTCAGTGTCTTTTTCATGACATTGTGACATTAGATATACAGGCAATGAGAACGCCCGACATAATTTCCAGCCCTGCGTGAGATAAGAAGTAAAATGCAGACAAGCAACTAACTAACCATCAGTGGTTGATTGCTAAATTTATAAGAGTCAGATTTATCATAAATCTAGGATCATACACTGCTTGAATTCCAGTCGAGTCCTGCTGACTCGGCCAACATTTGAGCTGTGGGTGGTAAAAAATTGATGGCTGAACAGCGATTGCAGATCAGCCAATGATCATTTTTGGATTGGCTCCTTAGACAAAAGTCTATTGAAAAATTTTAGGGCTGTGCAAATTAACCATTCATTTCTCAATTAATCATTAATCTTTTTGATCGATTAAAAAATCTTTGATCGATAAAAAATTTTAAAAATCTTTCTGCATGAGCGCCAGCCAAGGCATTGGCCTATATACATATAGCACAGCAATGAAGTAATAAAATGAACTAGGATCACACTAATCCAGCACATTATTATTCTCAGTTGCCCCACTAAAGCGGCGGCCATATTGAGTGGGGCACTTAGGATCACACTAATCCAGCACATTATTATTCTCAGTTGCCCCACTAAAGCGGCGGCCATATTGAGTGGGGCACGTGAGATAAATAACGTGCTGGATTAGTGTGATCCTAGTTCATTTTATTACTTCATTGCTGTGCTGTATGTGTATAGGCCAATGTAGTTGGATCTGTATGTGCGTTATAATGAATCAAAATGAATCGATTAAAAAAATTTTGATTAATCGAACACGAAAATTTTAATCAGTAACAGCCCTAAAAAATGTACTTTTGTCGAATGGGGGTGGGGCCTAACGAGGCCACACACTGGTCAAATTGTGCCCGTGTCAGCCAAAATCTGACCAGTGTTTGGCCAGCTTAAATCACAGTGTTTGAGAACAGGTAAGCTTTGCACAAACCTGTCTACCTAGTTGTCATACTGTTTCTAATTTCAACCCGTTCTGAGTCATTAATCTGAAACAAGCATGCAGATTAGAATGACAGAAATCCTGATCTCACTACTTGTTTAAGTAGTAAATCAACATGGCATTATCATTTTTCAGAAGGAAAGGTCAGCAATTGCTCAGCATGGCTGGGAAGGGCCAGGCGAATCACTGGCAGACAAGACATTCCCAACAGTCCCACTGGAGAAGCAGTCAGTGCAAAGGGTGGACATAATAGTTGCCAGCTATTCATAGTATGTAGGCCATTTGCCAATTTTTGTTTCTGTGTAAACTTATAAAAATATGATTTTGTTAAAAAAAAAAAAATTAAATAAAATGCACCAGAAACATATTTTTAGCGTGTTATGAAGAGTTATGGGCTACCCTAGATGCAAGGGAGAACAACAAATTTGAATTATCATAACACTGATGAAATCCTGGCTCTGTTTCACTGTGCTCATTATGCATAAATGACACTAGTTTAACCACATCACAACACCCACCTCTCATTCTCTTCGATTCTCAATGGTGGTAATCTAAAGAGTGTTATTTATGCCCACTGCACCATCCCCCCTACTGTACATGCAAGCTTTATCCATTTTAGCTGAGGGGAAGGACGCAGTTTGGAATCTTCGCTTTGGGTGTCAGAGGTTGCTGTCCGAGCATTATATTTCATTACAGGGATTTTTTATATATAGTTATGCTAATCATGTTTTTCCTTTTTTATAAAAAATGCATAATTGGACTATAGTTTTTTTTCTATATTTGTGCAAAGTTCTGTTTAAATTGTTGAAGGGCTGTGAAATGGGACTGGACCGTTTGGTATGTATAATCACAGTCAGTTGCTGATGATGCTGGCAGTAGGGAATATTTACAAAAGAAGACAGCTTACAGCTACTGTTTTAATTACATGTTCTCTGAGTTCCTGTTGAAGACAGACTTGAGAGATACCAATATGGCTGGAGGGCATGTACACTTTATAGCCAAATGTTTGTGGACTACTCCACATCACACCTATATGAGCTTATTGGACATCCCATTTTAAAACCATAAACATTAATATGGAGTTGGCTCCTCTTTGCATCTATGACATCTTCCAATCCTCAGGAAAGGCTTGCCACAAGATCTTTCAATGTGTCTAGGAATTTGTGTCCAAGGCAACCAAAAGAGCATTTATGGTCAGGTACTGATGTTAAAACAAAAGACCTTTACGTTCATTCCACCTCTGTGCAGGCCACTCGAGTTCCCCCACACCAAATTTGTCAATCTGGCTTTGTGCATCTGACCTTAATATTTTGAAAGGTTGTCAACATAGTTCTGGCCATATAATGTATATACAGTATATGCAACAGCAATCATGAGAATCAAAAACAGAACCCAAACCCATAGGGACAATCTATGTATACCACTTAGACATGATGGTATGTGTGGTAGATCACAGTAATCAGGTTTCAGATTTGTGTGGTCATATCAGTAAAAATGTAATTCTGGTTACTATGGGTAGGGTTGTCTATGTGAATTATCTGTGGAATAGCTTAAGAATCTTCCTTACCTCCATCACCTCTTTACGAATGTCCACGATTCTGAACCAATGCGTGAGCTGAGGAAATCCTTCAAGTTCGGCATTTCGCTCCTGAAGGGCCACTTTCTTCTTACAGGACAGCTGACGGCTGAAGTACTTCACCAGTTTGCTCTGAAACAAAGCAGAGGTAAATTAAAGCTGCTAATAGCTGCCCGTACAATAGTTGCTCTCAATAAAAATCAGTATAATACAAGTTTTTTTCCTTTACTGTGCTTTCCCAAATGTCTCTGCTAAGTTATTTTCCAATAGTCAAAGATCAAAATACAGAATTGAGATGTCTTAGTGTAGTAAATAAATAAATGGCCAAACAGTTATAGGTCAGACAAGCGAGAGGAAGTGAGTGTTGTGCTGCCACAATAGTTGTAAAAAATGAGAATTTATATAGCTATTTTCCTTATGCCATATATGGTGAGCAGTATTATAATTGATTCATGTGCTGCCATCTTGTGGTCATTTTAGTTATTGCACATGTTTTCTGTGTTCCCTCCCATCTATGATGTATTTCCCCTTGTGTGTAATGTTCCACCCTCCTTCTTCAATAGTAATTTCCTAGTGTCATGGCTGAAGGAATTCTGAGCTATGTGAAATGGCCCTGAAGCTGGCAATAGCCTGCACAGGTAGGGCAATGCCATCTGGTGTAATAGAATGGCTACTCCCTCCACTCCTCCCAAACAATTGTTTTCTATGTGCACTGTACACACTGCAATGCAGGTGTGATCTGTGGTGTAGTGCACTGTGTAAATATGCACACATGCTGCTTTTTTCCGCCGTGCACTGGATGGCAAGACAGGTCACTGCAGTACACCAAGCTTCTGTGTGGGGACCTTAATGGAGTTCACAGTTTGTACACTCCAAATAAATGTTAAAAAAAATAAAAAATAAACAACGCAAGGTACTGTGGTTCACCGCTGTCACTTCAGAGGACGCTAGCCGCACGGTATGGAATTTGTTTTACCATGCGGCTATTGTGAAAAGGCCCTACAACAAACCAAATGACATAACTTTATGAGGAGGTTCTTTTAGGATTACTTAATAATTACGTTGAATGCTTCTCTAATGGTTGAATAATGTGGTTTGACATCACAACATTTTGTAGACAAATGTATATTTCTGTTTTTAGAGATACTGATGAGGTGAATCACCTTCTAGCTTCTAGTAAAGTAAGTTCCCTACTTAGGAATGGTTCTGTTCCGAGAGCATATTCTTAAATCCAGTTTGTTTGTAAGTCCAACAAAGTTAGCCTAGATGCCCAGCTACATCACTGCTGCTTTCACACTTGCTTCTGGACATCCTGGGCTTCAAATTAAAGATACTGTACTACTATAATCTACATTAAAAAGCACACACACACGACAATGTATGCCAGACATGTGAACTAACTTATATGATTGGACATGCAAATGCATGTTCATATCTTTAAAAATGTGTAACTTGAATGTACCTACCTAAGTCTCTGGAGGTGAGATCCCTGTTCACCTGGCACAGCCACTAAGGTAGCTTATGTTTTAGGCATGTGCTTTCAGGAAATGTTTATGTTGTGCAACCAATTCAGAATCACTTTCACTTTCCACTCTGCATTGTACAAAAGACAGTTAAAACCTGATTGGTTGCAACAGACAAGAAGAAATGTTACTAGCATACATTTCAATCATAAGCCTCTTATTGAGAGACAAGACTCTCCTTGTGGATTGTTTTATTACAAGCATTCTATCAGGAGGATTTATATTTCCCTTTCTGCAATAAAATAAGTAATATTCTACAGCAGAGGTCACAGTGCTGGATAGTCCCTTGGGGAAACCTCACGTCTAGAGATGGAAAAAAAACTCATATGCCGTCTAACCCTACGTTAGCCCTTGTTTCTGTTCTGGGAGCTGTTCATCCTCCCAGGTGCTGAATAGACAGACGCAGCCCATACCTTTGTTATAAAGTGATCCAGGCCCCTTAGACAAACTCCATCTTCCCAATAGTTAACCCAGATGGAGGCAAGTCATCTATGAAGCTCTCTACGCACTGTTGTTGTGCCAATCTGAAGGCCACATGAAGTTTGGAGGTCTGTAGCTATTGACTCTGCAGACAGTTGACTTCTGCGCACTGTGCACTTCAGCATGCGCTGGCCCCACTGTCATTTTATGTGGCCTACCACTTTGTGGCTGAGTTGCTGTTGTTCCCAGTTGCTTCCACTTTGTTACAATCCCACTAACAGTAGACCGTAGACAGTAGTAGCAAGGAGATTTCACGGATGGACTTATTGCACAGGTGACAACGCTTTAATTCACTGAGCTCCTGAGAGCGATCCATTCTTTCACAAATGTTTGTAGAAGCGTCTGCATTCCTAGGTGCTTGCTTTTATACACCTGTGGCCATGGAGGTGTTTGGAACACCAGAATGTGATGATTTGAAGGGATGTCCCAATACTTTTGGCAATATAGTATATATATCTATATAGATATATATATATATATATATACACAAACACACACACACAAAACCATTATGACTACCCACGTATAACTAGTGTAGGCCCCCCTTTTTGCCACCAGAACAGCTCTGACCCATTGAGGCATGAACTTGACTAGACCTCTAAAGGTATGCTCTGGTATGTGGCACCAAGCCATCAGTAGCAGATCCTTTAAGTCCTGTAAGTTGCAAGGTGGGGCCCCCGTGGATCGGACTTGTTTTTCCAGCACATCCCACAGATGCTCGATTGGATCGAGATCTGTCGCATTTGGAGGCCAAGTCAAAACCTCAAACTTCTTGAACCATTTTTGCAGTGTGGCAGGGCACAATATGCAACTGAAAGAGGCCACTGTCATCAGGAAATACTGAAGGGGAGTACTTGGTCAGTAACAATCTTTAGGTGGTAAGTGTCAACGTAGCATCCACATAAATGGCCGGACCCAAGGTTTCCCAACAGAACATTGCCCAAAGTATCACACTGGCTACGCCGCCTTGCCTTCTTCCCATAGTGCATGTTGGTGCCATCTCTTCCCCAGGTAAGTGATACACACACACCTGACTATCCACATGATGTACAAGAAAAAGTGATTCATCAGACAAGGCCACCTTCTTCCATTGCTCCGTGGTCCAGTTCTGATGCTCACGTGCCTATTGTAGGCTGATCGGTCTGCAACTACATAGCCCCATGCGCAACAAACTGTTATGCACTGTGTGTTCAGACACCTTTCTATTGGAACCAGCATTAAAGAAGAACTCCAGGAAAAATGTATTCACCCTTGCAGTGGGGCTACTAAAAAAAAAAAAAGAGTTAGACTCCCCTGAAGCGTCTTTTTAGACCAGTTCTTCCAACATCTCTCCCCCTCCTCTGCAGCAGTCTCAGGTCCCATAAACCATCGTGTCCATACACAGTGTATATATGTGAGAACGTTGAAGAAGATCCCAATAATGCCGGGAGGGGGGAGACAGGCTGGATGGAGTGCTGTGACAGCTGGCCGACTCAGAGCTTTGGGTGAGTATAATTTTGTTATTTTAGCACCTAGACATTTAACCCTTGTAGTGCTGGGATAGCCCCACTGCAAGGGTTAATAAAAACATTCCTTTAACTCTTTCAGCAATTTCAGCTACAGTAGCTCTTCTATTGGATTGTACTACATGGTCCAGCCTTCGGTCCCCACAAGCATCAATGAGCCTTGGCTACTTATCACCCTGTTGTCAGTTTCACCGGTTTTCCTTCCTTGGACCATATTTGGTAGGTCCTGACCACTGCAGACTGGGAACATCTCACGAGATCTGCAATTTTGGAGATGGCTCTGACGCAGTCATCCAGCCATCACAATTTGTCAAAGTCGCTTAAATTGTTAAGCTTGCTCATTTTTTTCTGCTTCCAACACATCAACTTGGGAAATAATGTTCTCTTACTGACTAATATATTCCACCCACTTCCAGGTGCCATTGGAATTAGGTAATCGTTGTTACTCACTCCACCTCTCAGTGGTCATACTGTTATGGTTGATATACTGTGGGGGGAATTTATCAAAACTGCAGCAGACAAAAACTGGAGCAGCTGTGCAAGGCAGCCAATCAGCTTCTCTCTTCAGTTTGTTCAGTTAAGATATGAAAATGAAAAAGAGAAGCTGATTGGTTGCCTTGCACAGCTGCTCTGGTTTTTGTCTACTCCAGTTTTGATAAATTCCCTTCTGTATATGTATACAACAAAGCTTTTGAGAGTAAGGAATGTTGGTTTTCTATTTCTAAGTGTATTTATGTGTATCCCTGTACTTCTGGTAACGGAGACAAAACTTGAGGGAAATCTCTCTGACACGGATGCAAACAGCAAAAAAAAAACTAAAAAAACCCTTTTCAGTAGTGTGGGGAGGGATTAAAACATCCGTTATGTTTTTGTTGACATTTGTATTTCTGTTTGGGAAAACGGAACCCCGCCCCCGAGGAAAACAGATCTTAATAGATACCTCACATAATCTATGTTGTAACTCCTCCCTAAAATTAACAAAAAAAATGTTTCCATGGACATTCACTTTAAAGTAATTTTTTGTATTGTTGCTTAGTTGCATACTGAACTAACAATATGTAAAATTAGAACCACTTGCAGAATACCTGCAAAGTGCCCAAACAACCAAACAGCCCTACATAGAACATATACTCGATAATACATTTTTTATGACTTTGCAAGTAGATATGGCAAAACAATTAGAGTTATATGCTTGTCAAAGATATTAAGTGAAACATATGCAGAGTTATTCACTAAAGGGAGAAGAGTTTGGAGAAGGCAGAGAAGTGAACAATCTAGGACAACATAGCTGAACTGGAACGTTAGCTGAATTGGAGAATTGTTCTAAATCAGCTATTTTGTCCTAGATTGAAAACTCTGATAATATTTCTTGGGCCTTCAAAAAAAAGTATGTACTTTCTACTTTGTCCACAGGATGGCACTGTGGTACCAACTGTTTCACTATATTTCTATTCCATATGGGTCAGTTACTTTATGCTCAATAACTACAGGAAGGAGTTATAACTATGCCCTCAAAGTAATATTCTGGCAATTAAGAATATTTGTTTATTTAGAACAAGCAATAATAACAATTTAAAAGCATATATGTAGTGGTAATTTAGACCTGCAACCTTGTGATGCTAAC